CATCTGTAAAGAACTAAAATTAGAATAATTTTATGTATAAAGCTTTTCAAATAGAAAAAAATATACTTTGGTCTTTGATAATACACTTAAGATGTTTCCATGGCTTTGTGTCTGGTAAAGGACAGAAAAGAGAAAAGAAAAAACTTTTAATTTTTTTGGTTTTCCCATCTGAAAAACCAAACAAAATTTTTGGGAGACTAGATCAAGTTTCCAAAATAAGACAGACCATAAGATCTTCTTTCTGCAAAAGCTAGTATTAAATAAATACTAGTTTCACATCCCAGCACATGATCTTTTTATTGGCTAAGCTTTTCTAGCTTCCCATATCTGAAAAGCAAAGTATTCCCCTAAGCCCCCCAAAAAAGAAGAAAACAAAGAGGCACTGTACTGTGAATAACTTATATCTTTTATTTGAGCTTTGGAATTATTTGCCAGTTTCCAGCTGGAGAATCAAGTTTAATAAAGCTGCTGGAGGTTCATCCATGGGGAAATCTTTATTTATGACACTTACATAGATACATAGGAAAAAAAGTTATCTTAATTCAAGCACCTAAATAGCTTAGAAAGCAGAGGACTACTTCAGTTAGTAAATGATCTGGATAGCCTTCAGAATATCTGCTCTTCTAGGCCTCAGATGGGACACAGGTTTTTTCACCTTATTATACATTTAACTAGGTTTGATTAGTAAATTAATTTTCTAATGAAGATTTTAAAGTAAGTGTCTTGGTCTGTATTGGCACACTTTGGAGCCCTCTCACTGCATTTTGACAATATGAAAAGAATGTGTACAAACACCCAGTATGCATAGAACAAAAAATGGAGATGTGTGAAGAACAATTTAATACTCTGTGTTTACAAATCTAACTGTGTTGTATGAATGAACTTTTGCTCATAAATTCTTGTGTGTAGGTTGTGGAGACTCCCTCCACAGAGTGACTGAAAAATCATTTAGACACAGTCCTGGTCATACAGCTCTAGGTGGCCCTACTTAAGCTGGGGGGGTTGGACCAAATGACCTCCAGAACTCCCTTACAACCTCAGTCATTTCTAATTCTTGTTAGAGATAAATGAATTAAACTAGATTTAAATTTAAATTATTTAAAATTTAATTGCACTACAGCTTTTCAAATGGTTTTAGTTCTCTTCTACTTTTCTCCCTGTGACTTTACATATCTTTAAGTATTTAATATCTTTATAGCCTTTGACTTCTGATATTTTTTATATAACGTATAATGGAGTTAGAGACAAAGCAAAGAAGCATCCTAAACTAGAAGAGACAGTGTCATTATGGGCATCTTATTTTTCTGACAAGTCCAGAGGAGAGGATTCCAAAGAAAACTCAAGAAATGAGGCATGCCTTTTCTGTTGAACTGTGCAGCCAGTTCATGGAAAGTAAATTGGAGAATGAGGGTGCTTAATGTACTTAAAGGAACATAAGGCATGGGCATACCACTTCCCATGAGAAACCCACTGCTACTGGTTCTCAGGATACAAGAAGCTTAAGCAGTAATTAGACACTAAACAAAGTAATTTTCAGGAGAAACAAATAGGAAATGCAGCAAAATTCTTAAAGGATTGAATAAAAATAATTAAAATTCCCAGAGTGTTCAGAATTATTAAGTTCAATCAAACACTCCTGCTTATGCAGATCTTGGTTCTTGTCCAAATACTCACAACCAGAATCTGCTAAAATAGTCTCCAAAAACCTGCTGCTGAAAGAGTACCTGCCTCTTATTCAAGTGTACTCATTCAATCCTTCATTGAAATTGGGGGATTCTGTTGCCCAGAGATATCAGGGAGTTGATGAATGAAGATATTGCCCTTTAGATCTGAGTTGGCATTCAGTGAGAGCACTGAAAACCTTCCATCACATACTAAAGATCTAGCTGCTATCATTGATAATTGTCAGTAATATCAGCAAATTTTCAGATAGTATAACTAAAATCAAACCACATGTTCAAACAATTTTTGCTAATCCTTAAGACTTCACAGGCAAATTTAACACTTTCAGAGAGTAATATTTAGTTTTGTCAACCAGAGCAGTGAACTCTAGAATTTATATGAATTTTCCACAGAATACTGTTGTAAATCACATACAGACTGGTAGCATTAAATACAAACTGTTTCATTAATTATTCTAGTTTTGGAAGTATTTCTATAAACTTACAAAACAAGCCTTCATCTTTGTCTAATGTGAACCTAGCTTTGACTCGATTGTCTGCAAGCAAAGGTCTAACCAAGCTCAACCAATGCATGAAAAGCATTTTATAAGGGTGTCAGCCAGCACAGCACACCACACACCCTCACCTCCCCCCAAAAAAAAGTGCGAGAAGATGATATATTGGTATGACTTGCTTGTACTTGCCAAGATCACACACTGCATTATCACAACCTAAAATAAATCTCAAAGGGAAAAATAAGTGAAGTTTCAATTCAGCAGAGAAGGAATAAATGATAGCTATCCCCAGGATATTAATTATTAACAATATATTTTGATCCAGCTCCTAAAGCTAGCTGCTACAGCCGTGATTTTGCTAATAACCAAAAATGTTAGAGACTTATGAGACAGGAATAATGAATGGAAGTTGATAATAAAATCCAAAAGCTGCTATCTCTGTCACTTTCTCCTTGATTTAGATTGGCTCTGTAAATCTGAGAATTACTCTCCAAAAATGCTTTTAGGGAAATACCAAGAATGTATTAAACAAGATGAAAGTCAGATTCAGTACTGGTGAGGTACAAAAAACAACCAACCAAAAAAAAACCCTTGTTCAATCTGGGAAGGAAACATTAACTTTTGACATATTTATTTCACAAAACAAACAGATTTTGAACTGTTATTACCAATTTCTTCTTTAAAGAAGACAAATGATGTAACATCATGGTTACATGGTCACAGTGAAGTTTAGAATCTCATTAAACAATACATAACTGGATAACAGTGTACGATTGATGTAGTTGAGTGTAAGTGTCAAGCACCAGTGCCAAAACATAAAGATATTTTGTGCAAATGACCCTGCTACTTTAACAATCTGGCTGTGAATGGAAAAATAGAAATTAAGTCAAGCAGACTATGTTGATCTGCTGACAGCATGTAAAATAGAGGACAAAAATAGTCAGGAAGCAAACAGAAATATGAAATGCCTTCTTTATAACAGAGTAACAAATGAAAGCCTATTTAAAATGATTTCTTTAGAGACTTCTCCCCTCCTTCCCGTACTTGAAATCCTGGTTCTCTATGATAGAATAAATATGTATCTTCTAACTCAGAGGTGACATCGCTAACTTAGGAGGCTACAGAAGATTTCAACCAGAGAATGTACTTATTTGGTAGCACTACATTAATTATTAAAGCTTTAACAGGGGTGACAAAATACAGTCCCTCTGACAGCATATCCTATTTCTAAAGGCTGAGGTATGCAGAACTAGGAGAGATGACCTTCTGAAACAGAGCAGACTTAAGTCCATTTTTCCATATTTATAATGTAACACCCAAACCATTCACACATGGTACAAAGATGTATCCTCCTGCCTTATTTTATATATAACCCAGCCTGTGATACATGCTCTATATCTATGTTAATTAGAACCCTTAGATGAAAGCACATCTGATGTGAAAACACTGCCTTATATTCTGGGGGCAAGAGCTATTCCTCAGGAAATAGCCAGAGCCTGAAGCACTTTCAGGAATAGCCTAGAATAGATCTATGGAACTTAAATATTTGAATACCTAAGTAGTTCTAGATCTTTGAAGATCAAGATTTGAAAGTTTAAGACAGCACCAGGAGCATGTTTCTCTTGTACTGATGGAGTTCTTAATCAAAGAAGCAACATTTTCTTTGTGCATTTAAACCAAATATAATTTCAAGTTGTGATTAGAAACCAGGCCATTTTCAACACAGAAGTGTTTCACACCAAGACTTACTTTACAGAGCTAAAAACAACGTAAGACACAAACAACAGACTTTGTACTTATCTAAGAAAGTTAGACAACACAAAATTTGCAAGTAAAAAAATCTTGGTAGGCTTTTTTTGCTGGTTTGGGGTATACAGTTTTTTGGGTTTTTGTTTGTTATATTTTGATTGGCTTTTTGTATTATTTGCTGCTCTTGTAAAAGCCTAGTTGTTATGGCAACCATTCATATTCCAGCAGACTTCCACAAAAGAGTACAGACAAACAACTCATGCTTCCTTCAGCAACAGTTAAAAAAAGCTAAAAAAACCCCCAAAACCAAAACAAACCCACAGCATTGTCCAAGTTCTAGAGTTCTTCCTAGTCAAATAATAACAAGACAACATGCTTACTTACCTTCCTTCAACATCTCCATCCATTTACTAATTCAAACCTTTCACTCCTGTTGAGGAATAAATAGTCTGTGGCTAATTATTCTTGATAGGACAGCAGGAACCACAAGCCTAATTGCCAGTAACAGGTGTGGGACTTCTCATGGTCTGGACCACAGGATTTTAACCCTCAGTTTACAGTTCACAAGATGCTGTAAAAATCCATCCAGTTCTCATGTGATAACTGCAACTTACCAGTTGAAAGTAATAAGCAATATTGTGTAATAAACTGTAAGATTATTTTCAGCAATTGCATGGTAGAATATTTAAGAATCTGTTTTCTGTTTTTCTGTGTTGTAGATTGTTGTGCTGTAGATTGCATTTTAATGGGAGGGGAACTAGTAGATATAAAAAGTGATATAGATGTTTTGAACTTAGGGCTGAGTAAAGTAAAAATGTATGTAATATTACCATAAGATAATAATTATTTCCTTAAAAAGGGATGTATGCTTTCCATATGCATAATAAAGCTGTAGATCTTAAATGACAGAGACATTTATATTTAGTTCAGCAGACCTGCTAATATATCTGCAACAAAAGATATTATCTTTATTATGACTAGATGCAAATGAAGTCATATCTGTGTAAGACTCAGTCAGTGGTATTCTGCTTTGGACGGAAGAGTTCAGCCATGCAGAACTGGACTCTCAGTTCACAAGACTGAAAAAAATTAATGCTTAAAGGGACCTCCTTCCACTTAACCTTAGTCAGCCAACAGTTTTAACTTAATTAGTGAATGAACACTTAAAACTCTTAGATACAAATATTTCAATATTCACATGGACTGTAGAACAAGTAATTGATTGAGTTCAGTTGTGCATTCAGCATGACTTTCAGATGTCCTGATTCTTGGACACATAATTATGCAACTTCAATGTTAAATAATTACAGTTAAGTATTTTATAAGATGGGATAGAATTAATATATTCTGTATTAGAAGCTACAGCATGAAGACTTTCAGATATTAATATATGAATATTTGTCATTTTATGTCCTCTGCCTATAGTATGCATGTTGCATACTTCATGTTGCTGTATCTTTTATCTCAAATACCATATTTAGTTCTGGTTCCCCTTTCAAGAAAGTGGACTTGCAAAGCTACAAAAGACCCAAGGAATGGCATCAGGAAAGACGAATGGCCTAGAACAGCTTTCAAACAATGGTTAGGTAGTTCTTTTCATTAAAACAGACTGAATCTTAACCCAGAGTTTTCTAGAAACTGCAAAGTTGTGTTGTATGTGTATCTGACAGGTTTATTCTTCTGTTCTGTATGATACACCAATTGCCTGTATCAGGGAAAAGTTACTGGGTAGACCAACCTTTGCTCTGTTGCAGCATGGATTTTCTAATTCTTTTTAGTTTTATCATAGAAGTGGAGGAAACTCTAAAGAACCTGAATTTATTAATGTATTTTATTTTATTTTTAAACTAGGTCTGAGAATACGATTGTTCAATTTTTCTCTCAAGCTACTAAGCTGTTTCTTATACATAGTTCGTGTGCTCCTGGATGATCCTACACAAGGACTTGGATGGTAATGTGTTCTTTTTTTACCTCTACTCTCAAAGCATTAACTTCTAAGAAATAAATTAATTTAATGAATAAATGTTTTATATTCTGTCAATAGGGATTTGGTTTTATGTCTTACATATGTTTCGAAAGACTTATAAAGCCAGTCTGAAATTGTGAATGGAAGTAGGAACAAAAATAACTTTTTTTTTTTCACTTTACTGCTAAAATAAGCCTGGCTGTGCATCAGACATAGTTGTGCAAATTTAATTTTTTTTATTGCATTATTACATACAAATTCTACATAGCATATTTATGTTTATATATACAAAAATAGAATTGCAACTCATCTGGTTGCCTGTTTATGCAACCATATTAGGATTATACTTTTTTACTTAAATAATTTTACTTAAAGCCCCAGATTGCAGAAAAAATCAGACAAATACATGAAATTGAGCTTTCCTGCAGATGATATTGATTATTATTTTCTAGCCCTCTGCTTTTTCTAAACACTTAGAAGAGAGGGAGACCAAAAGTTTATTCTATACTCATAATAAGCTATGTACACTACAATTGTCAGTATGATATTCTATATGGGTCATTGGGTACTCTGCTTATTTTTATTTGTTTTCGTGTGTGACACAACCAACCGGGGGTCATCAAGAGCAGTCAACATGGTTTTATCAAGGGTAAATCATGTTTGACTAACCGCATAGCCTTCTATGAGGAAATTACTAGGTGGATAGATGATGGTAGAGCGGTAGATGTGGTTTATCTTGATTTCAGTAAAGCATTTGACACCGTCTCCCACAGCATCCTTGTAGAAAAGTTGATCAGGTATGGGTTTGGTGATCAGGAAGTGAGGTGGATTAGGAACTGGTTGAAAGGAAGGAGTCAGAGAGTTGTAGTCAATGGGGCAGAATCTGGTTGGAGGTGTGTGACTAGTGGAGTCCCACAGGGGTCGGTACTGGGACCGGTGTTGTTCAACATCTTCATCAACGACCTGGATGAGGGTATAGAATGTACCCTCAGCAAGTTTGCTGATGACACTAAGCTGGGAGGAGTGGCTGACACACCAGAAGGCTGTGCTGCCATTCAGAGAGACTTAGATAGGTTGGAGAGTTGGGCGGGGAGAAACATGATGAAATTCAACAAGGGGAAGTGCAGAGTTTTACATTTGGGGAAGAACAACACCATGTCCCAGTACAGGTTGGGGGCTGAACTGCTGGAGAGTAGTGTAGGTGAAAGAGACCTGGGGGTCCTGGTAGACAGGAGGATGACCATGAGCCAGCAATGTGCCCTTGTGGCCAAGAAGGCCAATGGCATCCTGGGGTGCATTAGAAAGGGTGTGGTTAGTAGGTCAAGAGAGGTTCTCCTCCCCCTCTATTCTGCATTGGTGAGGCCACATCTGGAGTATTGTGTCCAGTTCTGGGCCCCTCAGTTCAAGAAGGACAGGGAACTGCTTGAAAGAGTCCAGCGCAGAGCTACGAAGATGATTAAGGGAGTGGAACATCTCCCTTATGAGGAAAGGCTGAGGGAGCTGGGTCTCTTTAGCTTGGAGAAAAGGAGACTGAGGGGTGACCTCATCAATGTTTACAAATATGTAAGGGGTGAGTGTCAGGGGGACGGAGTTAGGCTTTTCTCGGTGATGACCAGTGATAGGACAAGGGGTAATGGGTGTAAATTGGAGCATAGGAAGTTCAAGGTGAATATCCGAAAAACATTTTTTACTGTGAGAGAGACAGAGCCCTGGAACAGACTGCCCAGGGAGGTTGTGGAGTCTCCCTCACTGGAGACATTCAAAACCCACCTGGATGAGTTCCTGTGTGATGTACTCTAGGTGACCCTGCTCTGGCAGGGGGGTTGGACTAGATGATCTTTCGAGGTCCCTTCCAGCCCCTAAGATTCTATGATTCTATGATTCTATGAACCATCAATTGTAGAAGAAATTACAATTTATTCTATCCTGTACTTCAGTTGTATTTGTATCCTGGATATACTGAATCTTCTCAATTCTAATTGCTAGTAAGCACCACATATTATTAACTTACTTGCTCTCAATTGATGGCCTTAAATACTGAAAGACTGCATTTTACAAGAACCAAACCCAAGTAAAGTGAGTTAAAGAATACAGGCTTTACTCAGCAGTGCATGAGAAAAGGATGTGTGAATGGGAAGTACAGAAGTTTTGCAGGAGAATTTTTTCTGTCAAAATTTATTGTAAGAAATTAGAACATCTGAAAAAAGGGCCAGAAAAAAAATCTCCCTGCAAAACCAAGAACCGCAAAAAATCCTTATTTTTTGATTCCAGATGTATCTCAGAATGTCTCTTCAAGGAGAGGAAATGTGTAGGGAGGGAACAAGCAGTAAAGATTTTGCAAAATTTTTCATGGTGATGGAGAAGAGAAAATCCATCCTTAGAAATTTTGGCAGAGTAGCACAGCAACTCTGGGACATGAAATTTTACAGGTAATGATACATTCTGGCATTAAGAAGCTGCTGATACTGTTTTGATATGAGAAATCTAGTGAGACCAAATAGGTGTATTATACTGCAAGGTTATGTCTGAGTATGCAGAAAATATTAAACCATCAGCACTTCTACCACAGGTATACTTAAATACTTTTGTGTTCATATGCAAAGATTTTTCCTGCATCTTACATGCTGCTTAATTCCCCAGGTGTGCTTCTTCTGTCCCAGCCTACCCATGTGATACGATTTCTAGTATCTCTTGATATTCAATATTTATTGTGTATTTAGTTCAGCTTTTAAAAGTGTATTTGTTGTTTTGTTCTAAAATTGGAACCTGTTAGAAAATAAACCTTTAAAAATATAACCTGAAATTCTTCATAGTCCTTTATCTACAGATACAGAAAACATACAGAATTACTTTCTAAAAGTTATTTTACTGTTTTAAATGTCTAGATCCACTGCCTAGGGTTTCTAACTATTGCATGCATTTTACAGTACACTTAATCATGTAATTAATATCCCTCTCCTCCCATATGTTTTTATGATTGTGTTCCCATATACATATGCTAATGAAAATGGACTTTGGATGGATGGGATGACAACTCTCAGTAAGAACTTAAACCGGAGTTGTTCCAATCAAAACTACACCCCTGGAACGATTGATTGGTGAGTTCGTAATTTAAAAAAGGAAATCTAAAGTCCACATAATGGTAGGAAGGGGAGTGAAACAGGAAGACAAATCCACTTCCATCTGGAACGGTGACATTTTTTAATACGCAATAGTGATTATTTCCGTAACTCCCAAGCAATTTCTTATGTGTTCCTGAATATTCAGAACTGCCTTTAATATTTTAATTGTTTCTCTGATGGCATAATGAACTGCTGGACTGGATGCTCTTCTAAGATCTGAATTTCATAAATGCTTCTACCTTGCTGGAAAAAAATGGATGCCCTCATTTAAAAAACAATTATGACTAGCAGCAAATGATTACCAGTAAACTGTTGTGCCATTGAGTGTGCCAGATTTCAGCAGTACTATATTAAATGCCTATTATAATTTAGTTTAGTAGATACTAAGACAACATGACATTTTTCCAAGATAGACCAGTCCTATGCATTTATATATATTATTATATATTATAATATATATTCTTATTTATTCTTATTTATATATAGCATTTATATCATTACACAGATAGCAAAAAGTTCACACAAAAGAATTGTCATGGATCTTTTTCCTACCACAAGTAATTATTCCTCTGCATCTCTAGAATCAAAAGCTCAAAATTATTTACTCTTTCTGGAATCAGAGGGGATGAACTAGCAGCCACTGAAGCGAGTGAAGATTTTGGTTTCACTGAGCGATTACTCCCATGGGAACCCAATGATTGCCTCTGGATTAGAAATACAAGCAATGTCAATGCTCAGAAGATAACTACCAATTTAAAATTTTTATTACAGAGAATTTTTAAAAAATAATTTCTATTCACATACATGTTTTTTTTCGTCTTGATTTTGTTCAAAACCCTAACCGGATTTTGATTAATTTTATTTTTGTTTTCTTATTATAATGGACAGGTCTCCAATTATTTGGGTGAATCGAAGCTTGCCTTTATGGGGATTACAGGTAATACATAAATGACCAATTTAACTATTTCCATTTAATAACTGTAGATGATACTGATTTATAGCATTTTAGTTATGTTAAAAGATACTTGGAAAACTTGGTATAAACAAAGAAATCTACTTGTTGACCAAGTACAAGAAAAGCAGAAAGGTAAGCTGGTCTGAGCTAACTGATTTGAATGTATATGGGTTTACCATGTATTTCTAAAATATTAAAGCTTATAACAAAATATTGTAGAATTTCCTCTTAGAATTGTCAGGTTCCATTGAGTCAAGTAGTCTCTGCTCTAATGACGAATTTAAATTGCATAATGGCTTATGACTACCCTTTAACATGCTCCATGGGCTTTCCTGTTAAATACACTGGAAAGCTAAAGCTAGTTTGTAACACAGAAGCCTGTTAGAGGAGTATGTCACAAAAGAGGCACTACATCAGTGCTCTGTGGGTCTTGGAGATCTTTTGAAGTTTGTGGTTCAATCCTCGGTGTCCTGAAGCCTGCTCATTTTTCAATTGTGAACAGTGCTGTGGGAATTCTCCCTGGGAAATGTGTTTTTTATTAATAATTCCTTAAGCTTCCAGAATGGTTGAATCCATTATATTCTTGTACCATGCTTAGTGCAAAGCCATTAAAATGGTCTGGGCCTCTGTGTAATACACAGCTTTACTAAGGGAAGGATCCCTTGATGGAAGACACATTACAATTCCTTGCTTGAAGTATGCAGAGTTGGAATACATTTTGACCTAGACATTCAGACTACTGTATTCGATTTAATTTAAAAATATGGAGAGATTTATTTGCTTATGGTTACAGTTTCTATTCTAATAAGTTTATTTGATAAATATAGGGATTTATGCGTATGTGCATACTCATGTTCACATGTATCATACACTCACAATGGGCTAGAGGCAATAATTGCCAACAAAGATTTGTTTTGTATTTGAGATACAACTTCAGTTTATATGAAACAGTAATACTTATTTGGAGAAACTGATGTAGTATTTTGATTGCACATTTTAATAATTTTCCAATTCATAGCATCTTGTAAAATTCTATGTAATATTATAAGTGCAAGTAGTGCACTCTTCTGTTTTTTCAGTAGTGGTGAGCATTAGCTTAAAATTAGAAATCCTGAGGCTTGTTTAACTTTAGGCTCCCACTAAATTTGTACATCATCTTGACAGAATATTCCCACATTATACATTAAAATACAATTGGCTGTGCTAAGGATTGAAGTAAGTTTTTTGGTTATGGTTTATGGTTACATACAAAGTTTTAAGTAATTTTTTTACTATTTTAATATTTGACTATTTAAATATTTTTAAATACATAATACATACACGAACTACATATAATCTAAGTGAAAGCTGATAAGTTGAGCTCCATTTCATTTAAATTTTAAAATAATAATCTAATTTTTTTTCTGTTTTCAACTTTCAGAATTAGACAAATAAAAAAGTGTTGATTTTTCCATACATCCATAACATCCTTACAGAAAAGTATCTAGTCCATTATCTGCAGCTTCCTCCTGTCTCTTTCTCTGTCTTGTGAAAAGATCTCAATATCCTTTAGGAGCAGACAATGTAACCTTGAGAAACAGTCCAGCAGATTGCGTATGCAGCTCTCTAAAATCCATGAAAAGGCCATCCTGCAGGCTCTCTGGAGTTTTATAACTTGTAAAAAAGCAAAGAGACTGAAGTCATAGCCTGTGCTTTAGTCAGAAAGATAACAGTATTTAAGTGCATGCTAAATCCTGTTAGCTTAGATGGTTTCAGAGGATTCATGGAAATGCTGATTTTTATTATCTTTTACATTTCGTTGTAATGCTTAATGTCATATATTCTTCAGAAGCCAGTATTAATACACATATTCTATAATTTCACTTAAGGTTTCTGTGGCTGTAATAAGTCTCTTTGAAACTCTGCTGCTAAGTTATCTAAGCTACAAGGTAAGTACATGTAGTTACTTTGTAAGTACATTTAGTTACTTTCAGTTATAATTAATCACAAAAAGTTAGAGAGTTACATGTTTCAATATAAAATTCAAATGCCAGCATTTATGTCCACATTGATATAGAAGCAGGAAGTTGAGAAAACCAACATGTAGAGGACAGCATATTGTCACAAGCAGCCCTGTTCCTGTTTCCAGATCTATGATCAAACAGTAATGTTTGATAATAATTAATAAACAGAGTGGAATAATAATTCCACTCTATCAATGATTTGATAATAATTTAATAAACAGAATGGAAGTCAGAAATGTGTTTAATTTAAATTTATTATATCAGATGGTTAATTTAACTAAAAAAAATTTTAAAATTTAAATGCAACTGAAAATATAATGAAAATTCATGTCATCATTGCCATGATATGTGCTGCACTGTTACTGCGTTACCTATGATGAAGTCTTGATATACAGTTAGTAAAGCTGTAAGTCACTGAATTTTGGTTACTGTCTTGTTTAAATGTATGGATTTTCATCCCAACATTTAATCATTCAGTCACTGTTCAGATGTGGAAAAGTAGTAGTAGTACTATCCTCATCTTGTAGCTAGCAGCAGGCAGGTTAGAAGATCAGCACCACCTTCCATTGCAGTCTGGGAAGCCCTCTCATTTCATGTAAGCAAGATCAAGTAAGGTCAAAGTCCAGAAACTCCTGAAATATATTGAAATGTTTGTGACAGAAATACAGAATTTGATCTTGCAGTCCTAATTCAAATATTAAACACCTGGTTGTCTTTCTTATTTCTCTCTCCAAAACTGCTGGAAAAGAGAAAATATGAAGTAAAGATAAAAGAAGACAAATGCAAAGGAAAGAAGAACTGACTATAAAATACTGCTATATTTCTCTAAGTTAATTTCATTCCTCTTTTTAATACTTATTTCTTAATAAGTTAATATCTATAGCAGGATTAGAATTAATAAAAATAAATATTCAGACCTCTGAATAATATGCAGAGGCTAATGAAACAAATTTAAGAGAAAATGAGCTAGTATTTTTTCTTTGGAAAATACAACATATTTGCATTCCTCTTTTGGTTTTTATTTTGCCATGAAGTCCTATCAGAATGATGTTCAGAGTGGCTTGTCATTCGTAACAAACATTAGTATGAGCTATAGGGCAGTCACTGTGTGTAGGGGTAATCAAAACAGTTGAGCTCATGGTAAAATCCAAAGGGCATGTCCTTTGGATAGGTGTCTCTGCAACTCTTGTGTTGTACTTGGACTTTCTCTCTACTACTTAGACAATTTAATAAGCTACAGCATTGTAATGCAGGATTTTAAGGATTTAAAGGCTTCTTAGAATTAAAGGCTTCTGAGAATTATTAAAAGGATTAATTAGTAAAAATTGCCTAAGACAGGAACCTTACCTCCATAATCTGTGTGTAACTGCATGTAAAAATAAAATAAGCTAACCTTTTAAGAATGAAAAAGCAGAGACATGATGCCTGTGTATGGTTCCAAGGTACCTAAAAATGCAATAAAAGAAAACAGGAGCATATAATTCTCTGAAAAAAAGGAAAAACTTAATTTAATGAAGCTCTTCATTAGCTTAGAGAATTAGTTGACTAGTTAATGCAATTAGAATTCTTCAATTGTGCTCTCTTACTAACTAGGTCATAGCAAGTAAATATGTGGTCATATGGAAACAGACAACTGCTCTGGTAAAAATAAAGATTTAAAAGCATATATTTTTACCTGTGAGGTACATTATGATAAACGGTAGGAAAAATAGGCGAGAGTGGCCTATATTCTACATTTCCATTTGACATGTCTTTAAATCTGAGATAAATGATCTTCCTGAAATTCAGCTAGTGGGAGAGACTCCATATGTGGCATTGGAATATCATATGCATTTCTCACCAGAACGATATGTAAGCCTACTGTGACATAATATGGTTGTTTTTTTTTTCCTTTTCTTTTAAGGGAAATATCTGGGAACAAATTCTGAGAATACCTTTTCTCTTGGAAGTAATTAATGCTGTTCCTTTCATCATCACGGTAAATATAGTTGAATTACTACATTTGCACATTGCACTTGCATAGCTGCACAAATACTCTTAATTTTTATTGAAGTAAATTTTAATCTTATGTGGATGATAAGTTGAAAATTGACAGAAATGTTGACAGAAATTTGTCAACAACAAGATCATTTGCTACTTGAATGAACTAATAATACAGGTCATTTTCCCCTTCTTCCCTGATAGTGGACAAACAAAACTAAAACCCTAACAATAGCACAATCAACAAAATAAACCAAGTAGATACAAAAATCTAAGAATCTCTGGTGTCTGCACTGAAAACTGACCGATTTTATTTTATCAATTATCTTGCATATGGCTCATCACAAAGGAAGAAAAAATGTTATTTAAAGCCATACCCCACACTAGAAACACATTAATAATAAGTATTTTTCTCAAGTGTTTTGTTGCTGCTTGAATAGAAAACTCTCTTCCTGAATATAAAAGCTTTTCATGAATTTGTTAATTTTTCTTTCAGATTTTCTGGCCAGTCCTAAGAAACCTGTTTATTCCTGTATTTTTAAATTGTTGGCTGGCAAAGCATGCTTTAGAGAATATGATTGTAAGTATGACAAAAGAAATAACTATTTTAGGGTTTCTTTTGTTTTAGCATATTGTCTTTAGTGGGAGCTTGGCAGCACAGTCCACTGTCCAACTTTAATAGGAAGCTAACCAGACCTGTTTTTAGATTATACAAATGGTCAGGCTTTGCTAAACAGCTTTTAGCATCAAAATGAGAATAAAAAAAGACATAAAGTGAAATCTCAATTAGTATAAATTGTTACTGTGCCAATAAGGGAAAGTTGGAACAACTGGTTCTTTTGCTACTCTTTCATTCATACACAATTACAGGGAACTCAACCGCTAGGCCTTAATTGGTCCTTGAAGCTTGTAATTTGTAAGCTAGACATGAGCAGACAGACCTTAAGGCAGCTTGCAATAGTATCAGAATTGTGCCAGAAGGAACAAAGAACTAGTTAAATAATCACAGAATCACAGCTGGCTCTTTTGCACCCTTCTGTATGATCAGCAAATCCTAAGTGCATTTGATGACTGCATTTGATGAGGGCACTGTGTAATACCTATACAGAATCAGCTCATGCTTTACTAATCTAAAACCAAAAATAATACCTATTTTCCATTAATATAGAATGATCTTCATAGAGCCATCCAACGCACACAGTCTGCAATGTTTAACCAAGTCCTCATTTTAATATCTACCTTACTATGTCTTATCTTCACCTGGTAAGTGGCCAAAACCCTTTTTTTATTGAATACACTGGCTTTTCTTTCTTTACTACATGGTGATAAAACAGATATTGTGGAAATATGCATTGAAATGAAAAGAGCAATATACTTGCAGTGAAAGTGTTAGTTAGCACCTGGTACCACAGGGGTCCTGATACACTGGGTTTGGAAACAGAATGTGCATGTATGGGAAAGGGAATCATTCTCCCAATAGGGAAGGAAAGAGATGATGCAGAAGTAGAGAGGAAAGGAGTGGGGGCAAATTTACATATGTACCATGACTGCAATCTCAGCAGAATAGTCACTGAGATTTGAAGAATACCAACAGAGAAGTAACTATACTGAAGTCACCTTTCTCTGACTGATAAGACAGATAGAGAAAACTGTGCAAGATCTCTGACTTATCACTGTGATGACTAAGTCAGGTTCCCATAAGGAGTACATGGGACAGTATAAATAATCTAGATCACACAAAGTGTAGATTTTATTAATCTAAGTTACAGGAAGTAGCAGATGGTAGGTTCTAACAACCAAAATGTGTTAGTCTGAAGAACTTTTTGCTGCAAGACCTTGAAAACTTAAGTTTACAGGAGTTTGGGAACCATGGAATAAAATCTGTTAAGAGCATTAAATATGAACATACTTTGGCAATGAAATTCGTCAGCTGCAGATTATTGGAGGAAAAGGTCCACAAGATACACCACTTGACTGCTCCATTTTTATACCATGCCTTAGGGATCTGCTGTTGATGAGGTCTGAAGACAAATAAAGTAGAGTACATGTGTCTGGTTTCACCCACTATGGTCATGCTTATGTTTGTATAAATGCATAGTAGTTATAATGTAGCTTGGTAGCTCACTTAACATACAAAATTTTCTCAGCAGTAGTGCCTGAGAAGTGATATCGTACATGGAAAAAAAAAAAAAGTGGAGGAAGTGTGTGTTACAAGATGGTTTACAAGGGGGCAATGAACAGAGATGATGATTCTGTGTGGAAAGGCTAAATCACCTGTATTTATTTTTCCAGACAGGGTGCCATTGGGTCCACACACTGATAAAGTTTGGTCTGTCATTTTGGAGACAGTGATTTGATTTTCTCTTGTTTTATTTCTGTAGCTCGTTTTTCTGATAGCCACTGTTATGTGCTGCTTAACCCTTTTCCTAATAACAATGTAAAATATTGCATGGCCTTTTCCAGTCTTGTATTTCTCTGTCCTTTATTCAACAAGAGGAGTTTGTTCTAGCCATTGGCTAAATGAATGGTCCAATTTTACCCTTTGTCTTATGGCCACACAACGGCATAATGACAAATGCTGCCAGTTCTAAACAGGAATGAATTTTTGTGAGACTAGATTTCCTATTTAATATTATGGCCCTTTAAGAGGAAATTGTATATTAATAATACAATACTTGAGCCAGAATGCATAAAGTTCTATCACTGTAGCACTTGGACATTTGTAATTTGATCTAATTTTGCTTTTTAACAATACAAAGCGCTTTTCAGTAAATACGCCCTCAGTTTTGTTAGTAACCTACTTCAATATTTTACTGCACTACTAAAAAAAATATGTATCCAGTTCTTAGTGAAGTAAGCTAGCAACAAGAATGTTTCCTAAGACCTCACTGTGATGATCCCTGGTTGAATAAGGTATAAAAGCTGCAACTAAACAGAACATCATGCTCACCACTGGGCATTTTGATAATTGACAGTAAAACATGGAGAAAATGGCAAGCTCACCTACAGTAATTAAGTCTGGTCTCAACAGGTGCAGATACCAGATCATTATATACTGACCTAGTATTGACCCTGCTACACTACAAAATAAGATAAATAGGATGAAAACACCCAGTAACACAATAACTAAGGAAATGAAACACTTTTGGAATGACTAAGAGCAGTTGTATAAGAATCTGCACCTTGCCTAAGACTGGAAATCTGTTTAGACAGTTATTACTGTTGCTTACATGAACACACATAACAGCATTTTTTGTACTTTTTCACCCATCTGTGTATGATTTTATATTACATAGATTATTTTAAAAATATCTACAAAATTCTCTATAAAACAGTAAAAATTACCTTACCTTAATGTCTTTGATTATCTGACATCTGTGGTGAATTTGAGACAGTGTTTCATTTAAGAGACATCATTTAGAGCCTACACGAGTTTCTCATGCTGAAGGAGGAGCAAAGTCCGTTTCTGGAATCTGTCCACTTAAGGGTGGCTTTCATCAGGCTGATCTTTCACATTTTCTGCAACAGCAAGCAGTAAACAATTATATTTGCCCCAAATATATATGGCTGCCAGTACTAGACTTATCCATACATGTAGTGGAGCACAGCAGAAAAAAATTCAGAGCTAGCACCAGTTTCCATAAGCATGTTTTGGTTATAGCTAGAGATACTGCCTTGGTCTGCAAAGTACCATAGCTTCAGTAATGCAAAATTCATATGCCTAGATTAGTTGCTCGAAATCAGTGTTTACAGTTTCAGAGTACTTTCCCCTTGGAGTGTATTCATTACCATGAGGACATGCTCATGATGTGCTTTTGGCACCGCTGATAACTGCCCTCACCATGCCTCCCTGCTGACCCTTAAGGTTAATGAGATAGGACTTTCAGGCACTGTATCGATTAAATTCTACACCACAGGCCTTCTTAGTTCCTTTACTTCTCAGAACTTCTGAAGTCAATATAATTTTGCAATGCAGGCTTCTGTTCAAAACCATGCTTTTTTAATGAGACAGACAGAAAAAGGTGGCACACAGCTTTGTATAGGGATCATATCCTTTTATAAGAAGTCCAAGATGTTATGAAGCCCAGAAAGACTCTTCTTTCTACCAGTTCAGTTAGACTGGTGCGCTGGGAAACGGTAGCAGAAGTCCTTTCTTACTGCTTTAAGTAGAGACCAAAACCTTTTGTAAGTCTACTTTACTGTAAGCAACTACTTTCCAGTGATTTGTTCATATCTAAAAGATATGCTCCTTAGACAAATTATCAGAATTTTGGGTATATATTTAACATATGTAAAAGTAGGTTTTCTCTCAGGTGTGAAAGAGAGGCTTTCTTTACTTCCTTGTGCAATAACAAACCTGTAGCTCCGTACAGAGTACAAAATAGGTGTATATGTACAAGCATATTGGAACTGACATGTTTCCACTGAGAATTCTGAAAGTACAATTTTGCTGCAGAATATTTATTATAGGATCTTTTCTGAAAGCTCATATGTTTACACAGGAAGAGGATACTTGTATTAGAAGATGTTTATGTCTGATCTTTGTACGGGTGCAAGTTCAGTGAGGAGGATTGTGCCTCTGCCATCTGTGTCTCCAGCCAGAACTGAAGTTATGCTCTGAAATGTGGAGGCACTGTCCAGTCCCAGTCACTTAGAAGTGCCTCAGCACACCCAGAATGCTGGGGAAGAACCTAGCTGGACCTCCTAGTCTCCCAATGGTTTACAATGGAGGGAAAAAAATTGGTATGTCTAAGTCCAATACATTTTTAGTTGTTCTTCTACTATGTAGACGACAGCACTGCATTTCTATCCATTTGACTGGTTGTCTTTCTCAGCTAGAGTTTTAGTGATAGGATTCTAGTGAAAGTTACAGAACTAGTCAAAGTATATATTGTGTCATTTAGCTAATGGATGTTTGCACTTGTTTGTCAAATGAAATACTAATTACTTCTGTAAACTGTACAAGAAGCCAAATAACAGTAAATTACTATTTCATGCATTTTTCTGTGACACAGTGAATCATCTGTTAAGACTTATTTTGCTTTTAAAATCAGTGTTAGTCATGTATCACTGGTGCAGAATGATTAGCTTGGGAAGAGGGTAGCTACGAACTGTTCAAGATGGGCATTTAATTTTTTCATACTGAAGACTACAAAGCCCACACAGACTTTCCCTATTCCTCATTGAAAAATTACTGAGGACTGAGGTCAACCTTGCAATTTTTTACCCTTCAGTGCTTTCAACATCAGAAAATTAGGATGTTTCCATACACTGACTTACAGAAAAAACATAGTATGTCAATCCTGTAGCCTCAATGTCAATTATGGAGTAAAAATTCTTATATGGAGGAAACAGTATGAATAAGTTGCTTATCAAGATGAAATCAAATCCAGACAATGATCTAGTCCAAACAAGACAATTCAGGATCTTCAAATTTGGAGGAAACATTATGAATAAGTTGCTTGTCAGGATGAAAGCAAATCCAGACAATGATCTAGTCCAAACAAGACAATTCAGGATCTTCAGATTTGGAGCACTGTGTTACAGAAAAAACCCAAATAAACAAAAAAAGGATTAATCCCATGTAACGTTAGAGAAAAGAAGGCATTTCAGTGCTCCAGTTCCCTTCATTATCAATAAGTAGAGACAGAGAACTCAGAGGGCAATGAAGATCTGGAGGGAACTCAATCACCACATGGAGGTCTCTGTTTCTCTGCCCTTCTGTGTTGATTCTGTCAGGAGCCTACGCTGGCAGTTCTCCAAGAAAGATGCCTAGCATTAAGTAGGATGAACCTAAAAAGTGTTGGTGGATTATGTAACACAGACTAAAATGGAGGGGTTTGGGTCTACAGTTCTTTCTGTAATGCACTGTTTTGTTGTACAGCACTCTCAGTGCTCAGGCCCAATCTCCATTTATGATTTAGAGAGGTTTTCTGAATCCAAGAATAGCACAAAATTAAACTATAATTCTGCCATTTAGCTTGATCAAATTCAATGAAACTAAAGTGGTAAAGCACATGAAGTCTTCGTTTCTAAAAGACTAAATAGGAGTTGCAGAATTTAAACCCCAGAATATGACAGAACATTAATTGAAAGCTCTAAGTAAATGTAAGTAATAAGAAAATAAACTGTTCTACTATTACAAGAATCCCACAAAGTATTAAAACAATAGCAGTAGTGCTTTTCTTTCTCTGAAATAAAGCAGATCTGTCAGAACTTGCTTGTTTCAAACAAAAGGCCTCTATTTTCTCTTTTGAAATATT